ATTCAGAGTCACGATTGCCCCCAATTTGGCAAGATTAAGGAGATTTCTCATGGGTTCGAGCTGCTGGACTTTGCTATCAGCTTAGGAAAGCCAGCCTGGCACTTGATCTTTTCCTAAATTCCTGCAATTGAATCATTATTTATCCAGGAAAGCACATGACTAAGCAGAAATGAACGGGGCATGGTGGTGTCTTGGGTATGTGCATACACACACACACACACACACACACACACACACACGCGCGCGCGCGCGAAACACATATACATACACTACACGATACACATATGCACACAACACAACATGTACATATACACACATTGACACACATACACATACAAACAATACACATACACATATATACACACACTACATGCATACACACATGTACACAATACACACACATTTACACATATACACACATACACACAACACACACATAGACATATACACACATAGGCATACACACCACACATGCACACTACACACAACACACATGTATACACATATACACACAACACAACATATACATATACACATACATTCACACACACATATACACACACTACGCACATACACACATGCACAATATACACACGCACACACCCTCCACACCTCCCAGAGGCCCATCATTCAGCCTCAAGCTGGAAATTCCAGGCCATTCATTTCTGTTTTCCTTCCTGTCCTCACCCGTCTGGGGAAAGCACAAAGGTCACAGGGAGGGGAGAGGGGAAGGTGAGAATGCCGACAGCAGCTCGTGCCCACGGGCCGGACAGCGTGGGGGGCAGCGTGGTGCAGGGTCGACAGGTGTGACCCACGCCCTCACAATCCGTAAGAGTCTCGGCCCGCACTCCTGTAACAAAAGACAGGCCAATATGAGAAAAGCATAACAGGTTTACTTAATCAAAATTTTACATGACACAGGAGTCCTTAGAAATGAAGGCCCAAAGATTTGGGGCAAACTGTCTATTTTCATGCTTAGGTTCAATGAAGAATGGACAGCTGTGTCAAAATGTGATCAGACACAAAAGGGTGTGATGTAAGGGTGACAGACTGCGGGAAATCCAGCAAGGCCTGTCTGTTCATGTTCTTCTTGGCCTGTCTGTGTAGCATTCACTCCTCCAGGGCATGTGGCAGGAACCCGCTGGAATGAGGGTCTTATAACCTACTATCAGAGAAGGTTGGTCAGAGAATTTCTTTAAAGCGAGCTCCTATGCAGAAAAGCGGGGGGAAAGTTAGAGTAATATTTCCAGGTTTTACAGGGTCTTATAACCTACTATCAGAGAAGGTTGGTCAGAGAATTTCTTTAAAGCGAGCTCCTACGCAGAAAAGCGGGGGGAAAGTTAGAGTAATATTTCCAGGTTTTATGGCTGCCTTCGTGGGGGAGAGGTGTTCTGCTTTCTATGACCCACCTTGGGGAAGGGGAATTCTAGTTTCTATGGCCTCTCTTGTGGGAGAAAGAGGAGCAGGGAATAAAAGGGCATGAGAAGGTCAGAAAGAGACTTTGACTTTGCTTCTGAGGCCCTCCAACATCCTTTAGTTCAAAATACTCAGCATGCAACATGGTGGTATGATTTTCTGAGCCCCAACAGTGTCAGGGTGCAGTGGCCTCTAAAACTTTGGTGAGGCACCAAATCCCCTAATTTGGAGAGTAGTGCAGGGCAGAGGGAGGAGAGGAGCACGGAAGGAGGCTTGTAGATAGAGGGAAGCTGTGGCTTGAAGGTGCAGATTTCCAGGCCCCACTTCCAGAGCCTAAATTCAGTAGGTCTGACATAGGGCTCAGGAGTCTGTATTTTTAAGAATCTGTGTATCACACTTTCAGAAACAGTGCTTAAGATTTGAGTTCTGGAGAAAGACCTTGGGTCATATCCCATTTCTGCTGCTTATGAGCCATGTGACCTGGAGCAAATCACTTATCTTTAGAGAGCCTTACTTTCATCCTCAAAAAGATGGAGACCAAAGCACAGAAAGGATTTAGCCCATTGCCTGGTATGCAGCAAACATTAAATAAATGATGGCTGTTGCTGTAGATTGGATGCCCCCCACTGACATCACTGAAGATTAATCCCCACTGTAACTGTTGAGGATGGGACATAATATTATGGTAATTGAAAGGTGGGGTCTTGAAGAGGTGATTAGATTTTAGGACCATGCTATAGTGAATGGATTAATAATGGTGGTCATGGGCATGTTCTCAGGGCTTTAAAAGAAGAGTATATGAAAAGTTGAGTCTGTCTCTGCTCTGCCATTTTTTACCATGTGAGACCCTTGGGTCACTGTTGCCACAACCAAGGCCTTCATTAGCTGTGTTCCCTGAGCTTTGGACTTACTAACCTCTGCAACGGTAAGCAATAAATTTTGTTTTCTTACAAAGTACCCAGTCCAGGTATTTTGTTATAAGCAACAAAAACGGAGTGTAAAGCTAGGGCTAATGTTGGAATCCTGCTGGCATAGCCAATTGTCAAGCTACACAACTACACCACTTGTCGAGTAAGGCAAATCATAACTAAAGCCAAAATGTTTCATTATTTTAGTTATATTAAGTTTCCATTTGTATAGTCAGGGCTAGGGCTCAGACCCTTCAAACCCATTGTACAGTCTGGGTCACAAACCCCTCACATGCCAGGCTGGGTCACCCTACCCCTCACACACAGGTCCGTCACACTAGGTAATTGGAAAGATCCCGGGAGCCAATGGCAGACAACGTGAGCTCAGTCAGCAGCGGCAGCAGCATCAGCTTACTGGTCCAGCAGGTTGCAGGTCAGGCGGTGGCAGCGGCCTTTCAGAGGGTCCTGGGGGCCCTGGCACCAACAGCCTCCAGCAGCAGTAGCAGCCTCACCATGGCCCCCCGGGGTCATCCTGGGGGTAGGGGGGCACTGTGGATCAGAGCCACTCGTCCTTTATACATACATCCATAACCCAGGACACCTGGGTGCACATGCGCAATTACATTAGACAATAACCAAGGAACCCCTGGGCGCACGTGCATATTTGCATCAAATGCTCGGCAAGATTCTGAACATCTGAGGAGCCCTGACTATTCTCCTATATTTTCCCTGACCGTTTTCCTATATTTTCCCAATACGGAGTAATACCACTTTATTATTACTTGATAATATTAATGTTTAGCATTAATTAATCATTACTGATAAATACCAATATCATTAATATTACATAATAATGGCTCCATCCAAACTCTGCATTAATTGTAAGAATCACTCCAGCTCACATTTTGTTTTGTAGCAGAAAACACTCCAGGATCCTTGAGGAACTGCTCTGGGCTGAGCTGACATGTAAGTTTCTCCCACTCCCATTCCTCTTCCTGAGCTTGCTGAGGTTTCATTCTTACCCAAGAATGTGATTAAAAGACAGGAATGAATCTTTTTATTTCAAAGTTGCTGGTGGGTGGTGTGGGGGCAGAGCTCTCCTCTTCCTGAGCTTGCTGAGGTTTCATTCTTACCCAAGAATGTGATTAAAAGACAGGAATCAATCTTTTTATTTCAAAGTTGCTGGTGGGTGGTGTGGGGGCAGAGCTTGGGTGCAGAGCTCCTTCCTGGGGGTGGGAATGAGCAAGTGGAGGAAGCGGGGCTTGGGGTGGAGCAGGAGAGCGATTGTTCATGGCAGAGGAGAGAACTGGAATTTGCAGCTTGCACGGAGACAGCAAACACAGATTCCTGCAGCAACAGGAAACCCAAGTCCCTATGGGGTTTGGCAAGTAGGAAAATGAGGGAGGCCAGCAGGTTAGGAGAGGAATCATGTGCCCGTCATGATTTGTCTTTCTTTCACCTACTTTTGATGGAGACTTGGGCTCAGAGAAAAATATCCTTACTATAAGAAAAACAACAAGAGAAGGGCGGTGATAAATAGCAACCAATATGGGTACCTGCTCCAAGAGCACCAAGAGATGGAGGAGATGGTAGAAAACTGGAGGTCTCACCCTGGCCTGCCCCATCTCAAGGGGCAGCGGCTGCTCCAACCCTGCCCACTCTCACCCCACAGACCAGTGGAGCCAAATCTTCTGAATCACCCTAGAGAACGAAGGGAAGTGGGTTTATGTGTGCAATTTCCTGATTTTTAAATGTTACCTTTAATTTTTAAAAACACCATATAGACATTGAATCTAAGATGCTATTGATGTTAAAATGTTCTGATATTTAATAAATTACTAAAAAAGAAAAAAATGCCAATTAAACTACAATAAGTCATTGATTGCAAAACTAATCTTAATTCCAAATGTCACAGTGTGAAAAACGTGCATCTTAGAATTCATGAAATATTGCATATCAGTAGTTGGCCTTAGCCTGTGGCACTCTTGTTCAGTTCTCGACCTGCACAACTGTACATAGCATCCATCCTAGGACACCAAAGGGATTAGGGGCCACCAAAGTCTCACACTTGGCTCACATTTATGAACTCCCAAGTCCCTTGAGAAGAAGTGATCCCTCTTTGATCTTTATCTGAACCAGGAATAAGTTAAAGCAGCAAAGAGGAAAATGTGACTCAGTTTACTCCCATGGTCACCTGATCACTGACAGTGATACCAGGGCCCCTGAAATAGTGATTCAGTAGGCATGGGGGTAGGGTTTCATAAAGGATGCTAAGTCTTGTCAGACTAGGAGAGGTCTCATACCCACATGTATACAGGCCCAGAGAGGTGAAGGCACTGGTCCAACCTCACGCAGCTGGGCAGAACAGAGCCAGGCCAGGGGCTCAGCCCTGCTCACTTCCATCCCTAGGGCCCCTTCTCCCACTGATGGTAAAAACTCCTGCCTGCCCCTCTGCCCCAGGTGGGCTGAAACAGGAGTCTCCAGGGCTGACACAGGGTGTATTGGCCCCTCCCTTGTCCCATCCCCCTTGAGGCAAAAACTCCTGCCTGCCCCTCTGCCCCAGGTGGGCTGAAACAGGAGTCTCCAGGGCTGACACGGGGTGTATTGGCCCCTCCCTTGTCCCATCCCCCTTGAGGCCCTGGTTGCTGGACCCATCCCAGAGAAAGCACCCTTATCTGATTCACGAGACTTTCAAATTTTATTAATAAAATACAAAATGGCACAGACATTGGTAATGACGGATGGAAAAACAAAAAGATCAACCAACTTCTTCCAAAGTCCTCCCCAAATTGTCCTTGTTCATGTCCTGCTTGGAGGACCTAACAAAGTTCATGGGAGGGGGCCAGCTGCCCCCAGCAGCTTCCTCACAAAGTGAGAGCTTTCCCCTTGAAGGCTCTCCCAGCCTGCGGTAGCCGGAACAAAGTGCATTCATACCTGCTCTCACCCTCTCTGGACTGTCAGAGCGACCCCCACTCAAGCCAGGCTCTGAGCTTCCCAGATGTACCCTGCAGGAGGCCAGGTGGACAGGGCGGCTTGGATTCCCCCTCTCGTGGACTAGAGCCGTGTTTTCTTCCTGTGAGCATCCATCTGCGAAGGAGTGTGTTGCTTGCACCTGGATGAAGCCCAGCCCATGAGAGGTTCTTCAGGTGGAGGGCAAGGGTCACCCTTGGGGACAATCAGAGGGATGGGTGAGCTGCCACCAGGCACCCTGGGGAGCAAGGCCTGCAGGGCCAGCTCTGACAGTGAGGGACTGGCTAGCCCCATCAGCTCAAGCCCTGTCCAGGCACACTTGAGTCTTCAGCAGACGAAAAGGAAACCCCCAGCTTGACAGCCACAACTTCCCTCTCCCTCGGACCCCTCTCCTCCTTCCCACAGAGTCCCTTTCACAAATACAGAAATAAACAGAGGACTCAGGGAAAATGTGAGGGAAATTCCTGGCCCTGCCTGCAGTGGGGACAAAGGTGAGGGGAGAAAATCCTGAAGTGCAGAGAACAGTGTTTCTAGGGAGTGAGAGAGGTGCGGGGACCCAGTTCACAGGAGAGAACCCAGGAGGGTGTGGGACCACAGGGGACATGGAGCCCAGCCACCCGCACAAATCCCTAATGCAGCAGCAGGGCTTGGGGCCTTCTCTTGATGAGGCAGGGCTCTGGGCTGGCTCAGTGGCAGGGTGTGAGCCTGGCAGAGACAGGGAGGGCCTTCGGAGTTGGTCTCTGCTCCCTCAAGTCTCCCAGCCCAGCACCCACTTAAGGACTCCCTGGGGCAGGACATGCGCTATCAAATCAATCCCTTGCAGGCACTCCAGGTCATAGGGTCCAAAGAGGTGCCAATCTAATCAATTGGCAGTAACTGTCTATGGTGAAGCTGCATCCAGGGTCTGGGGAAAAGAGTCTCAGCATCAATTAGTGATCTTGGGGTATAGGTTATTGCCACATGTCTGCCACCCCTCTTTCCCTTCACAGATGGGGATGCCTTGCTGGGTTGGTGGTGGAGCTGGGCCTAGACCCCAGCCTTCAGACTCACGGTCAATATTCCTTCACTGCACAGTGTACACTGAGACGGAGGAACATCAGAGCCACCTGAAAAACTCTCCTCTCCTTCCACGATGCCTGACTGAGGGCAGGACCTTCACTGGGGGCAGTTCCAGAAACCACCCACCAGCCTCAAGCCAGATAAGATACATCCTCGGCTGGGGCCTGGGCTCTGTACAGGGTATAGGGGGCGATAGCACCGCAGGTGGCCGGGATGACTGGTGACTGCAGCAGGACCACGGGACACGAGGAGGTCTGAGGGAGCAGGCAATAGGGGCCTGGCCTGATGCTCATTCATGAGATGGGATGATCAGGGCACTCACAGGGGGGCATTCAGTAAATGATTGTTCACTGCGGCTGGGATAGTAGCAAAGAGGAGAGTTTTTGGATTTGGGTGAGTTGGAAGACCACCCTCTCTGTCCCCGGCAGGCCCAGTATGGTCAAGGTTGGCCTCCTGGGGTGTGCCTGGGAGCTTGGAGCAGCTGGCACCTAGGAGATCCCGCCTCCCTCCTCTGATCATCCCAGCTCAGGCCAGGCCTTGGATGAGGGTAAGTATGAGAGTGGGGGGCCCCAAGTAGCTGTCTGAGTTGAACAACTGGACACAGGCAGGTGGGCAGCTCACACTGGCACCAGGACATACGAGTTACTGCCACAGCCCCGGGGAACATAGCGAAGGCCTTCTACCACCTCCCCTGCCATCTTGCTGGGGCAGCCCTGGAGGCTATGGTAGGCAAACATGGCCACCCCCAGGCCAAAGAGGAGACCAAGGAAGGCCAGCAGCCCCACCGCTTGCCTCCGGGTGGCCACCTGGGAGTCAGGGACGGGAGTGATAAGGACACCCAGCCTCTGTGGGTCCACAGTGGCATGGATGGGCTCCTCAGCCTTGGAGCTCCGGCTGGCTGAGGCCACTGGCTCCCTGCTGGGGATCCCTTTGGAGGATACGGGGACCACAGAAGCATGGGTCATGCTACCAGGTCCCCAGTCCTGGAGAGCATCTGTGTGAGCTGGAACAGGACCCATCTCCTCAGGCCCTAGAGAGTTCTCAAGCCTGGGGCTCAGTTCCCTGGTGGGGGTCTGAATGGAGGGGGGCTCAGTAGAGGGGATCTGGGTGGAGGGGGGCTCAGTAGAGGGGATCTGGGTGGAGGGGGGCTCAGTGGTGGGGGTCTGGGTGGAGGGGGGCTCAGTAGAGGGGGCCTCAGAGGCCTTTCCCTCAGCCCAGAGGCCAGACCCTGGCTGGTAGGCAGCAGAACTCTGCCAAGCTATGGCCGTGGAGACTGCAGCCATGTTGAAAATCTCCATGCCCTCAGGACCAGATGGAGGCCCTCCATTCTGAGCCTTTAAAATGGAGGGGGCCCTAGTCCCTGAGGAACCAGCCACTCCCACTGGCAGCTCTAGGGAAGTCCCCAGGGCCTTCTGTGCCTCCTGGGAAGGAGAAGTCAGCTCCATACTATTGCTTTGCCATGTGTCTTTGGGCTTTGACACTGCAGACTCGTGCACTCCCCTGGTGGCCGTGGTGGTACTCGGCTTTTCCACACCGATTTGCTTCTCAAATGTGCCGCTGTTTTGAGCCAGAGCAGCAGCCTGCTGGTTCAGGTACTGCATCGCTTTTTGCACCCATTCTTCATTTGGATCAGCACAGAAGAGCCTTTCCTTTTTTGTCGTCAGGCTACAAGGAAGGAAGACAGGGACCTCGTGATGCTCAGATACCAGAAACCCAGGCCAATACCTTGTGGGGCACAACAGACCTGGCTGGAAATCCTGCTCCCCGCTGATTAGCTGTGGGGCCTAGGACGTCAGGCTACAAGGAAGGAAGACAGGGACCTCGTGATGCTCAGATACCAGAAACCCAGGCCAGTACCTTGTGGGGCACAACAGACCTGGCTGGAAATCCTGCTCCCCGCTGATTAGCTGTGGGGCCTAGGATAACTCAGCCTCCTGAGCCTCTGAATCCTCCCCCAAGAAATGGAGATGGGTGGCCTACCATCTCCAAGGTGATGATCAACTGTCCCAGAAAAACTGGGAAGGAGGGGTTCTCAGGAGGAGGAACTTCCTGTTTTAAAACCAGGAAAGTCCCAGGCAAGTGGGGATGAGTTGGTTGCCCTACTGTTTTGTTATTGTAAAAGAGGTAAATCATATAAAGCACCTGGTTCAGAGTAGGGGATCAGTAATAGCTGAAAATAATAACAATGTTAATAATAATATTGTTACCATTAAGGCAGGGGACTCTGGGCTGTGTCTCTTGATTGGAAGGGGATCTTACACCAGGTGTTCACTGATACCAGGTGTGACAGGTGAGGCTGCCTCACTCTGAAAAGGACCCTATGTCACAAAGCCCTGTTCCTCCTCTCCCTTGGTTTCATGGCTATAGGCTGCCCTCTGGACTCCTACTCTCCTCTCCTAGTGTGTTTTCTTGGGCTGAAAGGTCTTTTAGTGAGCTAGAGCCACACACACAGCAACCCCACTGGGACCCCAAGCTCTATCCAGATTTTGAGCTTCCTCTGAAGCCGTGTGTGGCTGGTTCACTACGGAAACCACAGTTCGGAGCTCACTGGGGCCCTCGCTCCATGCTGCGGCCTGTGCTTGGCATTTTGCCTGTTTCAACCTCACACCCATCCTGCAGGGTGGCTACCATGCTCATTCCCATTTTACAGATGAGGAAACTGACACTCAGAGTTGTAAAGTAAATGCACCTGGCTCCAGTATGCTGGGAGGCCAGAGAAGTCCGGGAAGAAAGTGGGGACCCTACAAGCCCCCTTGGTCACAGTGATTTCCTCCCCCACATCCCACTTCCCTTTCATCTAGAAAACAGAAGCAAATATTTGGGGGTGCTTGGAGGAAGCGAGCTTTGACCTATGAGCAGAGAGGTCAGTCAGGAGCACACTCTGTACCTTGCCCTTTTTAGAGACTGTGCACTTAAGGAGAGGAAGCACCAGACTTCCTTTAGCTGAGCCTAGAAAGCAAAGGGCCACTGGCCATTTCCTGCTGCCAGGCCACTGGGTCTGGCTGAGGCTGCTTTAGGCCCAAAAGTCAGTCCTAGGGAAAGGTCTCCGGACTGGGCAATTGGGCATTACCCAAGAGAAACTCCAGGAGGAACAGGCAACCGAGATGACCAAGGGTCCCCAAGAGCCAGGAGGAAACTGGCTCAGCTCTTATAGGAGCCCTCTTTCCTCATGTGTCAAATGGACATAATGATCCCTGCGGCCCCTACTGTCAGCACCGTGCCCTTTTACAGATAAGAAAACCAAGGTGCAGAGGGTAAACAATGTGAGCAGGGCACCCAGCCAGTGAAAGATGGAGCCAGGATTCGTGCCAGATCTATTGCAGTCTGGAACCTGCACTTTAAGACCACCGTGCTCTACCTCCCCATGAAATCTAGTGGGTTCGAGTGCTGTGTAAAATGTGCATCCACCCAGGAGGAATTATCAACCTCAGTGGCTGCTCCAGGTCACAAGTGAGGCGGTCCCCACCCCCAGCCACATTGGGCCATTCAGGAAGCCACTTTCCATCTTTGCCATGTGGTGCAGATATTAAGGTCAGTGAGGCAGCCTGCGGGTCAGGAGCAAGAGGAGCATTTGCCAAGGCCTTTGACTGGGAGCCCAGGTTGGGGCAGGCAGGTGTGGACACAGATCAGTCCTGAGGGCCTGATAGGCATTCGAGAGGCCTCAAGAGCAGTACTTACATGATGGCGGATTTGCCGCAGGATTCTTGGTTACGTTGATAGTGGACAAGTAAAGTCACGGGTATCTCCGAGGTCATCTTGTTGCACGTGATGTTGCATTTGGTCACACCGAAGTGCTGTCCTGAGTGCACAGAGGCCTCCAGTTAGCAGGGCTGTCCGTGGGCACCTGGCTTCCAGGCCCCATGCCAGATCACCCAGGCCACACCACCAAAGCCAGAACCGATGCCCTGCACACCCTGGCCTTCAAGGCCTTTGATTCAGCCCCCCTTCCCCTCCAAACTTCACTATGCTTCAGTTTCCTTACCTGTAAAATAGGGACAATAAGAGTATCTACCTCATGGGGTTATTGTAAGGGTTAATGAAAATTAATTATTATTAATAAAGCTCTTTTTGCCTGGCCCATAAGAAAAGTTTAATTTTAAAAATTAAGCTGCTGCAGTTGGTTCATGGTACATCAGGGGAGACGAGTCTAAGAGTGACTAAGATCTACCTGAGGTCACACAGCCAGCAAGAGATGGAACAGGCTCTCCTACTAGGCCTGGCTCCCAACCCTTCCTGGCCTGTGGCCCCGCCCCTGCCCCACTCCCTGCCTTTACCCCAGTAAGTCATCTGCTCAACTATCACTCCCCGACATCCATTCCTCCTTCTCAGGCTATCTCACACTGATGGATTTCCACAACCTCTAAGAAAACCCATCCCTCCGTGCATCTGAATCTCACATGGCTACTCCATGAGAAGTGCACACCCCCACACACACATCAGCAAACACAATGGCGCACGTGTCTACCAGACACACACGGACGCTTGAAGACATACACATACAACCAGGTGCATAGAGCACATAATAAACTTTTTTAAACATGTAAGTGCAACTGCCTTCTAAGGAAGGTGGGGTCGGCTGAATAGACAATTCTTTGTCCTGCCATTAAGAGCCAGAATGAGTTTGAAAGCATTTGCTGGAAGGTACAGAATCATCCTGCCTAAGAGGAGAAGGCACATTTGGAGTTCCCACAGCAAGAGCAGTAAAGAGAAGGATTGGAGGTGGTAGGGTATGCATAGGGTGGGGGCAGAGTGGGGTGTGCAGCAGCTTGCAGATAGCTGGGTACTACGTGGAGCCAAAGAGAAACCCCAGGACAGGATGAGTGTGACTAAACCCAATTATTTGACATAAATATTTGAAGTTGTTTACATTGTATTTCCAAATTCCCCTTTCCCTTAAAATCTCCAGCAAAATTTTTTCTGCTTGTTGTAAGCTCAGGGAATATGAGTGCAAAAAATGAGGAAGCGTTTGTGTTTCAGATCTGCGTCAAGGTTATGTGCAGCAGAAGCCCGACTCCAGAGAGTTTTGCAAACATCCAGAGGCCAGGACTTCTGGGACAATAGAGTCAGAGACCAAGCTAATTTCATCTAGCCCTTCAGGGCCTGAGGCCCCCAGCCAATCCCTGGGTTCTACCAAAACACACATTGCTCTTGCAGAAATACTCCTTACATATATGCGGGAGACCAAGCTAATTTCATCTAGCCCTTCAGGGCCTGAGGCCCCCAGCCAATCCCTGGGTTCCACCAAAACACACATTGCTCTTGCACAAATACTCCTTACATATATGCATATACAAACATATTCCCAAGCACAGGTGTGCACACACACAAACATACTTTCTAGAATCTGCTGCCTCCTGTGCTGATCACTATCCCTTAGTCTTGGCCCACCTTCCTCATGGGAAGGGTCGTTCAGGGCCTGCAGATGTGAGCTGGGTCATCAAGAGGCAGTGCTAGCAGATCCTGAGGTGGGCAGGAGGGGCTCCCTGAGTCACAGGGCTGTCCTTTATTTCTGAGGAAGCAGGACATGAAAGTCACCATGCAGGCAAGTCACCCTCCTTCTTCCCCAGAGGGGCCTCGGAATGACTCAATTGCAGCCTCCCCAGGCCCTGTGGAGCAGAGTCAGGTGGTAGTCCCCTGAACTGGTCTGGCAGGTGTCTTCCTGGGGAAGATCCAGCAAAAACAGTGCCCCTGAGTGACCTGAGATAGGAGGAGGCAAAGTAGACTGCCCAGTGGGTAAGAGGGAGGGTCCATTCCATGGGCCCCATAACCCACCTCTGGGGCTTTAAAGAACCACAAAGTCTCCCTTTTCCTAAAGTCTCCACCCTTTGCCGCAGTGCCTGAGTGCTCTTGGCCGGGCTCAGTCCTTGGTTCTGACAGAAAGGGTATGTAACTAACCTACGGGAGACTCTCCCTTCTCAGAACTGAAGTTTTCTTTTCTGTAGGTGGAGCTAATGCCTCCATCCATCCAGTCATCTACTATTTGTCATCTGAATGACTGGAGTGTAGGGAACTCATCCATCCTGGTGTCATAGTGTTTCCCAGAATCAAACACAAGGTGGACACTCAATAAATATTCGTTGAATGAAATCACGTTTCAATCTACTTATCCTGTCTTTATGTATCCAACCACCCATCCACCCATCCATCCATCCATCCATCCATCTACCCCGCTTGTCAACCTCCTACCCATCCTCCACCCACCCACCTGTCTACTTCACCCTAGTTATCCCCCATCTGTTTATTTACCCCACCCCCCACTCACCCACCTACCCCCTTCCATCCTGCACCTCTCTCATCCCACCCACCCATCCATTTTATTTCGCCCACCTACCCATCTCTCACCCATCCTTCATCCATCCGTCCATCCATCCATCTCTTGATTCATGCAACACTTGCTTGAATTACTTCTGGGCATATACACAGACTCAGGCCCTCTGTCCTTAACCTTGAGCTCTTCCTCCTGTACGTGCTGATGTTGAGTTTGGAGAAAGCACCGCAACCCCAATAAACACTATCAGATCACCACGTTTGTTCAGTCAACCACCAAATACTGGTTCTTCCCTCTTGTCAAGCCCTGTGCTGGGTGTCATGAGGCACAGCGGGATGAACGAGGCCCATCTCTGCTCTCAGAAGGCTCAGAGCCTGATGGGAAGGGAAAACATGCCCACAAAGTATTAGAGCATTTTTTGTTGAGTACCTGCTGTGTGTCAGACCGTGTGCTGAACACATGCATATGTACTCCCGTTAATTCCCAATATCCCTGCAAAGGAAGTACGTTCATCCTCATTTATAGATGCAGAAGCTAAGAACCAGAGATGTCAAACAGTTTGCCCAGGGCCACACAACTGTTTAGCAGCAGAGTTGGATTCTCACCCAGGCCCTAGACATTCCACTGTTCTAGGCGGCCTCAGACACCAGGTAGGTACACCGTGTTCTAGAACATACCGCAAATGTACTGGGGTTTGCATGAGAGAGAGACCACTTCCAACCACAAGTGATCAGGGCAGGCTTCCTGGGAGAGGTATTGTTTAGGCTGGACACAAAGATGGTTAAGAGGCTTACTGGCAGGAAGACCCTGGGTCTCTGGGTGATGTGACAGAGAGAGGGCTTGAACCATTGCTCAGCTGTGTCTTGAGAAAGTCATTTAGACTCTGAGCCTCAGTTCCCTTACCTGTGAAATGGACATGATAACACCTGATTCACCAGTGGTTGTGAGAATAAAAATTTTGTAATGTTTGGAGCACTCATCCCATAGATCAGGGTGTCTCAGCAGTGACGCTATTGATGTTTTGGGCCAGATAGTTCTTTGTCATGGGGACTGTCCTGTGCCTTGTAGCATGTTTAGCAGCATCCCAGACCTCTACTCACTAGATGCACCCCTGAACCAAAAACGTCTCCAGGAATTGTCAGATGTCCCCTGGGAGGCAAAATCACCCATCAAGGACCACTGCCCTAGAGATGCCCATATGGCTCACTCCCTCGCCTTCCTCAAAACTGTGCCAATGCCGCCTTCTCAGTGAGGCTTCCCTGACCTCCTATTTACAATGTCAACACCTCCTCTCCCTTCTCCATTTTTTTTTTCTAATCCCAGAGCTTTTTTCCTTCTAACAAACCAAATCGTTTACTGATTTATTTATGTATTGCCTGTCTTCTCCAGTAGAATTTCAGGACCTTGAGGGCTGGGATCTTTGGCCATTTTATTCATTGATGTGGCCCCAGCTCCCAGCCATGCTTGTCACATAGTAGGTGTCCAGTAAATGTTTGTTGAGTGAATGGACAAAATGCACAAGGAAGCACTTTGTGACATATAAAACCTTAACCAACAAAGAAATAGAGGAATTTCTATTTAAATTCGACAGGGGCCTGGATCTGACACTGAATTTATCCTCCCCTTCCTTCCCCATCCGCCCCCACTGCTAATCAGGGGGGCAGACAATAGCAGCTTAAAACAGATTTTTTTCTGTATTTCTTGCTGGGACTTGAGTAGGAGTGAATGCGTCAGTGCTTGGGGAGAAAAATTCTCTGCTCTGACTTGTATCTGCAGGTTTGTTATATAAAGCACAGGAGCCTCCCGCCTGGCACAACCCCACAAACCCACATTTGGGAACTGACGCAGCTGTCCTGGCAGCAGCTTTGAAGCCTGAAGTCCCCATTCAGTCCTCTCTGACTTCCAAACCACCTCCTAGTCCTGCAGGTATTCCCAGGGGGTCTCTCAGAGCCACAAATGTCAACGCTGGTGAAGACCTCCAAGGTGGGCCTTCCCAGTTTTACAGGAGGAGAAACTCATGCTCAGAATAGTTGAAATAATGCTGAGTATCTCTCAGCAAAGCCAACAACCAAGATTAGGGTAGGAACCAGATGAGCCTGAAGTCTCAGGTTGCTAATCAGAGCATCCAAGGTCCCCCCAAGAGGCCCTCTTTTCATCCTAGTACAGAATCCGCCTCCACCCCCAGTTTCATAAAACTAATCCTCTCCCCTCTTCCAAAATGCCCTCATAAGTATTGAAACCTCATCTGCCTCCAGGGAGGCAATAGCTATATTTAAAGGTGCAGCAAGCAGCTAAGACCAGAGAAGGAAATACCCTGCTTAGGGTCACACAGCAAGGTTATGGCAAAGCAACCTCCATCTGACTCCCCATCTTCCAGTTCTCATTATCCCCAAATACCTCAGGCCTCAGAGCCCAAGCAGAAAGCAGGAAGCCCACAGCAATTTCCCTCCACTGCCCCCACCTACCCACCCACTCACCCTCCAGCTCCCTGCCCCACTGATGAGCCTGCCCCACGAAGTTATCCTGGAGGCTGGGGATGGTTCTCCTTCTCCCACACTTGCTGTGTGCCCTAAGAGAAAGTCCTACTTTCTCTGAGCATCATTGTGCCAGATGACCTGGGCGCTCCCTGAGGACGGGGCTGACTCAGGGAGGCAGTGTGGCCCTCGGAGGCAGTGAGCATGCTGCAAGCTTTCTAGTCTATCAGTCTGATGACTCTTACCCTCTCCTGCCCTACTTTCTGGCTGTGCACCCTCGAACCAGTTCCTAAACCTTCTTGGGCCTCCATCCTCCCCATGTCAGGTGGGATGGATACACCTTGCCCTACCAGGTCCTGGGCTCCAAAAAGCAAGTGACTGCGGGGGGAAAGCATTTTCTAAGCTTGTGCTTGGAGGAGGAAGACAGGGTGATGGGGTAGACACAGGCAGAGGGACTGGGCTACAGACCAGTGCAGCAATGACGAGCCCCATCTAAGAGCTGCAATGACCTTGACCTTCCCTGGTGCCTGGTCCCCTACTCCTAGGGGCTTTGAAATCAGGGCAGGAGTGTCCTGTGACCTGGCCTGGGGCCAGGGCTGTAGGTTACACATTAACCCTGGATGGGGTGACCCGGCCCCATCAGCCAGGGCTTCCCACCTACTCACCCACCAGGAGCTTCTTCAGGCTGCTCCAGCCCCGACCCTCCTGGCACCCTTGTGCCACCCACACCACCTCTCTGTGCTGCCATGCAGAGCCACCTTGCTTACCGGGCCTGGCAGGGGCAGTTGCTGGAGACAGGGAAGTCTTCCAGCAGAAGGGGCAACCCTGCACTGGGGCTGGGAAGGGGCCCAGCCCCCTCCGCACATCCCTCAGGAAGGGGCTGCCTTGGATGTCTGGCCTTACTCAGGCAGGTTTTGGGGGCCCTGGTGTCAGTCCTAAAGGGCAGAAGAGGGTCTGGGGGCTCCTCCCCGACCCCCACTCATGCCCGAGTCCAGGCCCTACTCACCTGCCAATAGGATGGTCAGATGGCAGAGGGCAGCGAAGCGGAGCAGCCATGAGAAAGGCATCGGAGCCATGGCTGAGGATGGGTGAGGATCTGGGCAGGCTCCAGGGCAGGCGGCTAGGGCCACACGGTAAAGCTAGGCTGTCCCCGTCCCCACAATTCCTGAGCTCTGTCGCTTTTTATAATGGAGCTCTGCTCCTCCGCCTCCGCCTCCGGCCCCCCCCGCAGGCAGGCAGTGGGAGGGGAGAGGAACACAGCCAATGAGCTGTGACTGGATTCCTCAGGATGTTGCCAAGGAACCAGGCTGGCTCCTCTGCTCTGGAAGGGGGGCCACAGCATGGGGTCCCGGGCCTGGTGCTCACCATCCTCATAGCTGGACCAGCCTGGGAGGCTGCACCAGGCTTGCCAGGGTCCAAAGGGCCTCCTCTCCTCCTGTCTACACAAGCCACCCCCCTGCCAGGTGTGGCTCTAGCTCCTAAGTGGGCAATAAAATGACAGCAGTGGGGCAGAGGAATAGAGAGTGCTGGCTGCAAGCAAGCCTGGAAGGACACAGGGCCCCGCCAGTCTGGGTCTGACAATCTTTTATTTGGTCTGAGAAGTATCTTTCCCACACCATGACGAACCCCAACCCTCACTGCTTAGAATCCCAAGCCCGAAAATGTGAGCTCCTGGGGGACCTTGTTCATCATGCATCCCTGGAGTCCGGCAACTGCAAAGCAGTAGGGGCCCAGTGCAGCGTTTGCTGAAAAAATGGTCCAGTCCAACTTCATATGGACAGATGGGGAAACTGAGGCCCAGAGAGGGGGCAGAACCACCCCAGGTCATGCAGAGCATCAGAGTAGAGAGCCCACCTCCCTCTGCCACAGACAGCTCAGGACACTGCAGAGAGCCCTGGCCTCCCTGCCTCCAGCTCCTGGACCTCTCCTTTCCCCTTTACACCCACTCCCATCTCCAGCCCTGGCCCCTGCCAGCCCTCAGGAACAACATGGCTGCCAACCTGTCCTGGGTAACTCGATGCCTCTTGCTCCTCCTTAACTCTGCAGCCCTGCCTTGGAGAAGTCCTGCCTCCCCTGGGACCACAGTCCTCCATCTACACAAGGAGGGAGTTGGACTAATCTGCTGGGGAGGGAGCTTCCCAGCTCTGACCTTCCAGGAGGTCTCTGCCTCCATGAGAGACATTTACGACAGAACCAGGCAGGAGCAGCCAGCAGGCTCCCACCAACCCGGTTCACACTTGCAGTCCTTGAGTGCAGCACAGAAGGCTTTAATGGCAGCCTTCTCTGAAGATGGTGGCAACAATCTCTGAGACTCTAGAAGAGTCAACAGGGGCCTGGAGTGACTCGTGCTGGGCTAGGTGTCTCTGGGCTGTCAGCCAGAGGAAAAGCCAGTTTGTTTCCTAGCCATTGCCCAGGCTACAAATCAGACAGGCACAACTCCAAGACCAGGGGACCTCTCTCTCCTCAGTCAACCCCCACCCAAGCACAACAGGGCAGCCTGGAGCGGGGAGCTAGGAGGCTAGATGCTCCTTGAAGGGCCACAGCACCCCTGGCATGGGCCAATGTGCTTTCACACACAGAAGACCTGTCCCAGCCCAGGAAGATACAAAGCCAGTGACCTTCACATTTCTGGTGCCCAACCCCTCATTTTATAGCTGGGGAAACTGAGGCCCAGAGAGGCGAAAGGGGTGATAAAAGCTGAGGTCCAAGGCTCTTTCTGCTCTGCCCATGTAAAAGTAGAGGAGGAAGAGAGGGCAGATGGAGAGGGAGAAAGAAGGCAGGGGAAGGTGGAAAAGAGGAGAAAGGAGAGAGAGAGAGAAGAGGGAGGGGAGGAAGGGAGGGAGGAGAAGAGGGGGAGGGGCAAGAGGGGCATCCTGGGAAGCCCCACACTTCGTAAAGGACAACAGCCAGTATTTGGGAGTAGAGACCCTAGTTCCCCTGGCCCCTGATGATGCTTCAGAGAAGTATTTAGAAAGCAAAGCTTTCGGGGCCGGCCCGGTGGCGCACTCCCGAGGGTTCGGATCCCACATACAGACTGGTTCCCGCTCACTGGCTGAGCGAGGCGCGGGAGCAACACCGAGGGTTGCAATCCCATTGCCGGTCCCTGGTCCGGTACGGGGGCAACACTGAGGGTTGTGATCCATTGCCGGACACGGAAAAAGACAAAAGACAAAAAAAAAAAAAAAAAAGAAAGCAAAGCTTTGGGATCAGAGGGCCCTGGCTCCGGCACTACCTCTATGTGATTTTGGGTAGCTTCCAGATCTCTCTGAGACTTTGTTTCCTCTTCTGTAAAATGGGGACGACAATACTAACTCACACTCTGACCCAAGCACTGTTTTAGGTGTTTTCTATGATTAATTCATGTAATTCTCAGAACAAACCCAGGGTTTAAGCAAAATGCCATTCCATGATCCATTTTATGGATGCGGAAACTGAGGCATGCAGAGGTTAAGAAACTTTCCAAAGATCACCAGCCAGGAAGTGGGGGAGGCTGGATTTGCCCCAGGCAGCTGGCTTTGGGGTCTGAGGACATGACCACCAGGCTACACCACTTGCCTCCACCCCCACTGCAAGGACTCATGTGAGTTTATCCCCATAAGGTGCCAGGTCAGAGCCTGGCATGGAATAAGTGTCAAAACACAAAACATAGCTCTGCCTTTTCTCCTTCAGCCTTTGGGGACGTGGCCAACCCTCTCCAGGCCCAGCTTCTCCCCCAGTAAGATTGGAATGGTCACCCCCACCTATCTCATCAGGGATTTAAGGACTAACTGAGTTTAGATTCAATTTGGATACAGTAACTAGGCTTTCAAACTTTCAGGTCAGCCAGGGCTGGTGCCAAACATGACTCCACCACTTATAAGGGATATCACCTCAGGGAAGTTACTTAACCTCTCTGTGCCTCAGCTTCCCCATCTGCAAAGTGGGATGCTGACAGTCACCTCACCAAGTCACTGGGGGAGCGAATAAAACTAAGGACTCTAGCAGGATCTGGCAGGCAGGAGCCACTCGTGTTTGTTATTAACCCTTGGTGTGTGCCTGGCACTTTGGTGGGACAGGGGGCCCAGAGGCAAATCAGCCAAAGTCTTTGCCCCCAGGGAGCCCCAGCTGACAGGAGAGAGAAGATGCAAGTCCTAGCAGAAACTCCAAAGCTGTGAGGCTCGGGGAGGGAGGGAGGTCCTCGTTCTAGTCTGGGAGTCAAGGAAAGTTAAGAGTGAGAGAGAGAATGTCTCAGTCAGACGATGGGAAGAGTTTTGTTTTATTTCTTTAACATTTGTTTTGGAACATTTTAAATAATACAGAGGAAGGAATGGGACAAAGAACTTTCATATCTCTGCGGTCAAGATTCAACGGTTAGCAGTTTTCCATATATACTTCATCTTTTTTTTTTTTTTTTTTTTTTTTTGCCAAACCATTGCAAAGTAAATTATGGATGCTCAACACTTTACCCCTAAATATTTCAGCATTCATCTCCTTAGTATAAAGACATTGTCTTACATAAATATGATACTATTATCCCACCTAACAAAGTTAACAGTAATTCACATATGTCTGTAACACCCAGTTCGTATTAAAATTTCTCCAGTTGTCCCCAAAATGTAGTTTCACCTCCCTCCCTCCCTCCCTTCTTCCCTATTTCCTTCCTTCCTTCCTTTCTTCCTCTAATTTATTTTTTGAACCAGGAATCAATCTAAGCTCATGCATTACATGTGTTATTTCTTTCTCATCTGCAATAGACCCCCTGCACATTTTTTCATGACATTGACTTTCTGCACAGTCAAGACTACTGTCTTACAGTGTTCTTATTCTTAATTTATCTAGCTATTTCCTTGCGATGTCATCTAATTCGTTCCTCTAGCCTGTGAATTTCTTGTAAACTGAAAGTTAGATCTCAATGGTTTGATTAGACCCAGGCTACGTATTCTTGGCACGAATCCATTATGAGTAATGCTGGGTACTTCACATCGCACCACGTGGGAGGTACACCCGCTCGGGTTGCTCCACTCTTCTTTGGATTGATTGCATTGATGGATTGATGGGTGACCAATAGATCTCTCTACTGTAGAAGTTTTATTCCCCTTGTAATTCACAAATAAGCTGTAGCATGAAGTGGTGGCACCCTGCGATATGCACATAGGCAGGATTTTGACAGACTATTCCAGGCAGAGGGAAAAGTCTAACCAAGGTGGGAGGTAGGGAATGGGCAATGGTCCAGTGCCACTGGTTCCAAGGGAGGAGATGGCAGGGAAGTTGTGGTTGGACCAAACTGTGGAGGATTTTGAAGCTGGAGTGAGAAGAAACAAGGATGCTATTTGGAGCAGAGGTGAGCTGGAAAGGTTTTGAGCTGAGGGATAACTGGAGTAACTATTAGAAATATGGACAGCACCAGGCAGCAGGACAAAGGGTTTCCCCTGGGTGGGTGGGGGTGGTGGGGATAGGGGTGTCCCTGCCCACACTTTTCCGCAGGCCCTCAGGTGACAGGGACCCTGTCTGGGTGCCCCAGAGAGAGGGAAGCCTGTGCTGTTGTTACAGGACATGAATTCACCCAGCTCTGAAAGCAGAACAGAAATACCTGTGGAGAGGAGAGTGAGCCCGGGACATTCCTGCAAGGCCCCAGGGTGGGAGAAGTGATAGAAGTGACCAGTGAGCCCCCTCTCCCTCCATCTCCAGGGAACCTGGGAGAAGCCGTGCCCAGATCTTCCCTGCCCCACCCAGCTCTGCCCAGCTCACCTTTTCCGGCCAATAAGGAGGGCTGCCCACATGTGTTTGGTTTTCCCTGTCTGCACCCAGGCCTGGCCATACCCTCTTTTTTATTGTGGCAAAATATATGCAACATAAAACCTACCATTTTAAGCATTTTTAAGTGTACAGTTAGTGGCATGAAGTACATTCACCTTGTTGTGCAGCCATCACCACCATCCGTCTCCAGGATTTTTTCATCTTGCAAAACCAGAACAGTGTATACCATTATACAATAATTTCCCATTTCCCTCTCCCTCACCCCTGCCCCTGGCAACCACCATCTCTGTGATTTTGATTACTCTAGCTACCTCGTTAAGTGGAAACATGCAATACTCATATTTGTCCTTTTGTGACTGGCTTATTTCACTTAGCATAATGTCCTCAAGGTCCATCTAATGTTGTAGCATGTGTCAGAATTTCCTTCCTTTTTATGGCTGAATAATATTCCCTTGTATGTATGTACCATATTTCATTTACCATCCTGTTTATGGATACTTGGGTTGTTTCCACCTTTTGGCTATTGTGAAGAATGCTACTATGAACATCTGGACACATATCTCTTAGAGACCCTACTTTCACTTCTTTTGTGTATATACTGTCAAAGGCAAGTAAAAATACAGAGATGAATCTCTAAAAACAAACAAACAAACAAACAAAATAAACCATTTTATTTGGGAAAAACAGAATTGCAATTTTGGGCATACACCCAGACTGGGTGGTCTTCAGTGTATCTGAAAGAAATGGTGGGGAGATTTATTAGAAAGAGAAATGCTATGTATTATTTTGAAAGAAAACTCTTTAGCACCAATGAAGTTTTTGGAAGCTCTGATTAGTGAGTGATGATGGTAGGTAAAATTAGTCTTTGAGTCATAGCCCATCATTTCAGCATCTACTAGATAAAACTGGTCTTAGGGTTAGAGCCAGCCACTTCAGCAGCTGGGCTTGAAGAAAATTCTTAGAGCAGATGCCATGTGCTCTGAGTGCTTTTTCCCCTTTGCCCTTCGACTCTAATTTAGTTTGGGTATGACAAGAATGACCCAATTTGTATAATCAACTTTCACGGGCCAGCCCGGTGGCGCATTGCGCTAGTGTGCCGCTTGGGAAGCGCTGCGGCGCTCCCGCCGAGGGTTCGGATCCCACATACAGACCGGTTCCCGCTCACTGGCTGAGCGAGGCGCGGGGGCGACACCAAGGGTTGCCATCCCGTTGCCGGTCCCGGTCCAGTACGGGGGCGACACTGAGGGTTGCGATCCGTTGCCAGACACGGAAAAAGACAAAAAAAAAAAAAAAACTTTCACAATACCTGGAAGTAGAATTGCTGGATCATGTGGTCATTCTGTTTAATGTTTTGAGGAACCTGCTATACCATTTTCATAGCAGCTACATTTCACCACATTTACTGCAGCCCCACCAGCAGTGCACAAGGGTTCCAACTTCTCCACATCCTTGCCAACATTTGCTACTTTCTGTTTTGCTTTGTTTTTTATGCTAGCTATCCCAATGGGTATAAAATGGTATCTCACTGTGGCTTTGATTTGCATTTCTCCAGTGATTAGTGAGGCTAAGCGTCTTTTCATGTGCTTATTGGCCATTTGAATATCTTTTTTGAAGAAATGTCTATCCATGCTTTTTGCCCATTTTGTTGTTGGGTTGTCTGTACCTTCTTATCTCATCAGATTCTCACATGCTCTGAAACATGCTTTTTAGCCACTGTTTCACAGAGAGGGAGAAACTGAGGCTCAGAGAGACAAAGCCACTTGCTCCAGATACCCAGCCAGAGAGTTCCTGTGTTGTCTGAGGCCATGCACCTTATTTCCTCCAGATCAGTTTGAGTGCCTCCACCCATATCCTGTTGGCAGACAGAGCCAGGTGAACGTTGACAGTCTTGACTACGAGAGGTTCCCCAATTTCCAAAACATGGCTGGCTATGAAACAGTGGTTGGCCCTTACCAATGCTTCTTCCTGGCCCCAGACAAGTGCTCTGGGCATCTGGAGCTACTGCCCTGGAAATTCCACTGGGAGAACCAGATATGACGGGGAACAGAGACCACTGGTGACAAGATGTCCATGGAATGGTTGTTTACACTGAAGAGGACAGAGGGGGGTCCTTTTTTGTCGTCTTGGCAGAGTGAGCTGTGTCCAGGAAGTTCAGGAAAGTGGGCTGGGCCCATGGAGAACTGAGAAGCCCAAAGAAGTCAGCACCAGTGCTTCTAAGCCCACTTCCTCTTCCTCCTGGACACACAGCTTGGCTGTATTTCCCAGCATCCCTTGCAGGCAGGGTGGTCATGTGACTGAGTTCAGCGAATGGCAGGTGGGCAGAATTGATGAGCACCTCTTCCTGGCCTGGTTTGCAACACCCTCCCACAGTCCCCCATTCTCCCTTCCCACCTGCTGGAGGTTGGAGAGGAGTTCAGGCCCTAGGGGAGGGCGGAGCCATAAGAAAGAACGAGGCTGGGTCCCCGAAGGACCACATGGAGGGTCGCACACAGGCCAGGAATGCCTGATTAGACTTCATGGGAGAAAAACAGTTCTATGGAGTTGAGCCACTGAGATTTTGGAATTTGTTGCAGGAGCTAGCCTTTCCTGGCTAATGCTCCCTCATCTTCCCCGGTGTCCACCCTTGAAAGGGGAAGGTTAAGGTTGGGTTATTGAATGAATGTGCTGCTTAAAGCTCTGAACTTGGGGACTGAATGACTGGTTTCATCAAATCCTCTCAACAGCTGATCCCAGGGTGGGTGGGCCAGGGGGTGGGAACTCTGGGACACACTCTGGGATTCCCTGTTGGTCCCTGTGCAGCTACCTCCCAAGTCCTTGTGTCCAGTCTGGCTCCCCATCATTCACAGGGTGACCGTGGGCAAGTCACCCCTATTGCAATGTTAAATCTTCTCCAGTGGGAGAGAGGGAACCACAGTGCCCCCTGCCCCATCTCACAAGGACAGCAAATGCCAAGGAAATAAAGAGATGCTGTTTTAGAGAATTTATTTCCAGAAGGCCTGAGGGCAAAGGGCAGGACAGGAGGGGAGGGAGATCCCAGGACACTTGAGGACCCTGTTCATGGGCAGTGGGCAGGTGAGCACTTCCAGGACCTGTAGCAGGCAGATGACCCTGGGCTCCAGGAGAGCCACAGCCCTGGAAGACACTGAGCTGTGTGGTTGACAAACTACACTCCCTGTAGTTTGGATCTGAGCCCCACAGCAACCCTGTAAGGTGGGTATTTTCCCCTCATTTGGCAGGTGAGGCTCAGAGAGGTGAGATGATCTCCTCGGGATCGCAGAGCTCCAACTGCCCTGCTGAGCTGCACCAGGCTTCCTCAGAAAGGAGCAAACACATATAAAGTTTACTTCCTTTACCTGGGACACTGCTGTCCCCAAGGAGACACAGATAAGTCCCAAATCTCAGTCTTTAGCCTGGCCCCAACCATCCGAGAACAGTCTCCACCCAGGACTCCTTCACTTAACTGCACCCCCCCACCCCCTCTGACACACACACAACTACCCTGCATAGCCAGCTGCCTCTCAGGACCACGAAAGCTCCATCTTGTCCCCCTCCCACACAGTTCCTAAATTCTTCCATTTATCCATTTGGTTCCTTAAGTATTTACCCTCCTTTCATATACAAATATAACTAAAGCTTATAGTATGAAGCCAAGGGTATTCATTCACAGCATAGCATGAATTTGGTTATCAGCTATTTAGGGAAGGAGGAAGGGAAAGTGAGTGGGGAGTACTCTGAAGAGGTCAAGACTGGATGTTGGTGGTTGGAGGACCACCAAAAGCCTAAGGGAAGAGAGAAGTCTAGAGACCCAACGCAGAGGGAAAATGGAGAAGAAAGGTGAATCTGTGCAAATCTGGGGCTTCACAATTGACCCAGTTGAGAGACCTTGAGTCTCTGTATTGGCCTGTAATTGTCTTTTGTGGGAGGGGGGGGAGGGACACTACTGGTATTGATTCAGTCTGCAGCCACTTGCTGAGCTCTGATTCTGATCCAGGCCCTGCACTCTGTGCTCTAGGCTGGAAGCCAGAAGACAAGAGTAGCTCAGTCATGAACCTTGGTCCAACTGTGGGCTGGAGGACAAGCCCCAGATTCTGATCATCTTGGCAGGCTGTGAAGAGGGGACAGAAGACAAGGGGAAGTCTAAAAAAATAAACTCAATTACTGGCTGCTTGTGCTGAGCACTGCCTTGGAGGGCTGGTGGGCTTAGACATGTGCAGGTAGTGGGAAGGACATTCTGGGGTCAGCAACATCCCAGGAAAGACCCAGAAGTGGAAATATATGGCATGGGTTTGCAGAGCAGGGAGCTGGAGCCCAACATACATGAAGAGAAGGGGGCAAGACCGGAGACAGGGATGGAACCCAGATCTGCAGGGCTGGGGCACCAGGTCCAGAAGCTCTGACCTCAGCTTAGGGAAGTGGGGAGCCACGGAAGGGTTTTGAGCAGTGAGTAACTGACTGGGATGTGGACCCTCTGGGCGTGGTGGGTAAAAGATGGGTTAGAGGGGCTGGAGGGGAGGTGAGAGTGACAGTGAAGAGGCCAGACTGAGGGTGACAGCTGCAGGGATGGAGATCAAAGAAGGCAGAGTCATTGGCACAAGCTTCTGTTGGGGAGCAGCTGCAATGGCAGGGAGGTAGGATTCTGTGAGCCTTTCTGGAGGAACCAAGGCCACAGTCATGGGGCCATCCTCATTTGTTCAGCCTGTCGAGAATCTTCTTCACCCAGGGCATTCTGGGGTCAGCACAGATCTCCCGGTCCCTCGCGGTTAGCAAACTGGAAGGAGGAAACACCAGAGAGACAAAGCAGCAGCATTAGCATGTAGTGGGGATGCCACACACCCCTGGGAACTTAGCATTTATGAGCCACCTACTGTATGCAAGGCTCAGCATTTATGCATCTGCTGCATGTGGGGGTACTTGCTATATACAGTGGTTCAAATTTTCTGAGCCAACTTTGTATGCAAAGCATATTTCCCGAGGGAGAGATGAGCAGCAAGGACTCCCAGGACCCTCAGTTCCTCAGTCCCAGCCTAGAGTGCCAGGTCGGGCCATGGAGTAGAATCCCCAAGAGTCTTGTAATATCTCTGTCATTGCCTTGAGAAAGAGAGTGGCCAAGAGTGTGGCTTTTGGAGCCAGCCTAGTTGAGTTCAAATTCTAGCTCTGCCACTTGTTAGCAAGTCACTTCACTTCTCTGGGCCTCAGTTTTCACATCTCTAAAATGGAGATGATAATATAGCACTAAGTGCTACAGCACATAATAGGTGCTACATAATTATGTAGGAGCTGGCCTGAACCTTTTACACTGATTTTCTTTTTTCTTTCTTTTATTATTTTTATTTTTTGGCTACAACATGAACTTGATACATTGATTTTCTAAATAAATCTTTACAACAATTCTGTGTGGCTATTATTCTACCCATTTTATAGCTAAAGAAACCGAGGCCCAAAGGGGTAAAGTAACTTGCCCAAGCACCAGAGCTGGTAAGATCTGACTGCACTGTGCATACTGTGAACCCAGACTCTCAAGAGGCAGTGCCTTTGCAGAGCATCTCCTTCCAGGCCCCTCTGAGAAGTCTGAAGCACAGAGAGGTGGGCACTGGCCCAGCATCACACAGCCAGGTGTGGGTGAGGGTAGCTGCAGCAGACACCAGGCCAGTGCCTGGGCACTCAAGCCACTGTGGCAAGAGTGGGCTCAGGGCTGGCTGGTGGTCAGAGCCATGCCCCTACCCTGAGACCCCCTTCCTGACTCTCAAGAGTCTGTCTGCAGAGCCCAGGAGCTCCTGGATCCCCGCATTTCCTGACCTGCCCCCGCCCCACAGATGGCCGGCAAACAGAACGAATGAAGAAGGCAGCAATGCAAATCTTGGCCACGCAGGCAGCCTTCCTCACCCACTGTGGTCACTGGGTAACACTCGGACCCTCCTGGAGCTTCAATCTCCCCATTTGTCAAACTATATTCCTTCTAGAGTCTCTTCCAGCTCAAAATCCAATAATGACATGTGTACTGTTTTTTACTGAGCATCTATTATGTTCCAGGCTTTGAGCTTTACACCTTCCACTTACTATTACTGTGCCCTGCAATGCTCAAGAGGCCCCACAACCTCTCTGTGCCCATCTCTTCACCTGTAGAAAGGGCATCAAAACATTACCTACTGCATAGGGTTGTTTCAAGGAGTAAATGAGTTCATATTTACAAAATGCTTACAACAGTGCCTAGCACTTAGCAAGCACTCTCTAAGTGTTTGATAAATACAAAGAACAGTTGTTACTCCCACTATCCTGATGGGGAAACTGAGGCTCAGAGTTGAAGTGACAAGAACCCTGGGAGGGCTTCCAGCATCAGCCTTCTCTGTTATTCACCTGCAGAGCTCTCTAAGAGATGGAGTCAGCAGTGAGGAGGAGGAAGAAGAGAAGATGATGATGGAGCCCCAAAAGAGGTCATGAGCCCCCAAATGCCCCCCCCACCAGCGTGTGATTTGATGGGCAGTGGGCTCTGAGGAGTTGGAGAAGCAGAGGGGCCATCACAGAAAGAGGGGCCACCCAGCCAGCTGCTGGCCCAGGCCCTGGCCAGGGAAAAGGAGGCAAAGGAGAACAAGAATCTCAGGGGAAAGCCTCAAACAAGGACCCAGGAGTCCTGGTGCCAGCCTGGGAAATCTTCAGCAAGTCACCCCCCTCACTGAGCCTGTTTCTCTGTCTGTAGTATGGGAATAGCAGACCCTCCTCATACAGAACAAGAATCTCAGGGGAAAGCCTCAAACAAGGACCCAGGAGTCCTGGTGCCAGCCTGGGCAATCTTCAGCAAGTCACCCCCCTCACTGAGCCTGTTTCTCTGTCTGTAGTATGGGAATAGCAGACCCTCCTCATATGACTGCTGTGAGGATTAAATGAGCTCACACAGGTAATGCTCAGAACAGCACCTGGCCTGTAAGGAACCCCTCTGCAAGTGTTAGCTCTTCATGTTACCAAAATGATCAAAATTAGCTTCCTGGAATTACTCCCAGGGTGCTGGGGAGGATCCGGGATGCCTCTGGTGGGAGCACTTCACTGATTCCGCAGCACCAGGCACACTGCCTGTGCCCTGTACCCTATACCTATACCCTACAGCTATGCACCGCCTACATGGCCATGCCCACGGTGGGGCGACACCTCTTTATTCAGCATCTTCAGAATTGGGCATGTTGCCTGGTACATAGTAGGTGCTCAATAATATTTGTTGCATGAACACATTATTTTTGTTCTTAGTACACTCAAGCCTGGGCTGGGCGATCTCTTCCAGCCAAGGCCTTCTGGCTGGCATCCAGAGTTCTAGCCACTCCCATCCCTGCATCTGCCTTGCTTGCCTGCACCTGGGCCATCCCAGGCCACACCTGTCAGCCCTTGCAAGGCCCTGTGGCCCCAGCTCCCTACTCACACCACGCCAGGCCTCCGGCAGGAATCCGAGGTCCAGTAGAAATATTTCAGCATCCGCAGAGGCAGGGGGTGACGGATGTAGCTCCTGCAGCAGATGCTGTCCTCCACGTTGGCACCGTAGGGGCCTGAGGGGTGGGGTGCCCAGAGAAGTCACAAAGAGTAGCACACAAGAGGTCACCCTCAGCCCCTGATTCCGGGCCCCTCCAGGCTCCAGGGAAGAGATGCAGCTTCTTCATTCTCATGTGACAGATGGTGCCAAGAGGATTCTGGGCCCTCAAAGACCCTACACTCTGGGCCTCTGAGAAGCCACTAAGGGCCCGGTGTCTACACTCTGGGATGGTCATCTCCAGGAGAGACTAAGAGTGACCGAGCATCAACAATACCCTAAGCTTCTGGATGGGACACAGCAACTCTGACCAGGAAGAAGCCTTCGATCCTTGCTACTCGAGGTGAGGTATGTGGACCAGCTGCTTCAGCATCACCTGGGAGCTTGTCAGAAATGTGGCCCGGCCCCATACCTGCTGAACTGATGCACATATTGACAAGCTCCCGGTGATTTGTTAGCACACGATCATCTGAGAAGTCTGCTTCAGCTCACTTCCACTCGAACCCGAACCCCCATCCTTGTGCACTGGTGAGGCTGTGGTCCAGAGACGGGCAGCACTTGCCCAGGGTCACACAGCAAGACTGTGGCAGAGCCAGGACCAAGGCCAGTCAGAGGACAGTCACACAGAATTGGGATCAAGTCCTACTCTGCCCTGAGTCACCAGACCACCCTGGTCATTTAACATCTCTGAGGTCCAATGTCCTCGTCTGACCAAGGGAGTTAATGATAGTACTGAGTTTATGGGGTCTTTAGAGCAGGGAAAGCTCTCAGGAAACACAGTAGCTGTGAGCAATTATTGTTTATAACTGCATGACTCCCACTCCAGTGCTCATTCCTCTACCCAGCACAGATCAGGAGAGTTTCAATGGGGTGGAGAAGAGGAATCAGGAACCCTGTGTTGAGGACATGTTCTGGAGGAAAAAACGGGGTGGTGGGAGGGCAGGACCAGCTTTCCAAGGGAGGATCTCTTATCCAGCTTCTGCCTTTTCCCACTCAGGCCTTCCCCCCTTGGGGGCTCCTCATCCACCCACCAAGGTCCCTATGCTCAAGTTCTCTGGAGCAGGGGATCCCCAGGCCATGCCCACCACAAGCCCTCGACCCAGCTGAGACAGACCCTAGACCACAAGCATTCAAGACTACCCATTTAACAGATGTGTAAACTAAGGCCCAGAGAAGCATGACGACTAGCCCAAGGCCACAAGAGCCAATGGCAGACTGGGGTCTTCTGCTTTTGGCCCAGTGCTCTTTCCATGACATGAAGAAGACACCCTAGTGTCCAGCTCTGGCCTCTGCAAGGAGCCTTCCCTCTTTCCAGCCTCACCTGCCTCAGTTGCTTGAAGAGCCACAGCAAGGAGGACAAGGGCAGCCAGGAGTGGAGCCTGTAGGCCGGCCATGCTCTGTCCCATGTGTTCCAGCCCAGGTGTCTGCAATCTCAGAAGGGTGGCAAGGCCTGGTATTTAAGCACTGCCTCTACCCACAAGCCTCGGACACCTCTTAGTCACCAATGAGTCTAGAATTTCTGACATTCACATCATGAAAGAAGAACTCCCCACTTCCTCCAAACTGGAGAAATTCTCCGTGGCGGGGAACCACCCGAGGGGACCCCCACCCTGTCCTCCCCTCTAGGTCTCAAGAGACTTGCAAAATCCCCCTTGAGCTGGGCCTCTTGGAACCCCTGCTCCCCAAGGTCTGCTTGCTGTGTGGCCTTGGCCACGCCACTGGATGTCTCTGGGACTTGGTTTCCCTGTCTGGAAATGATGGAGATGGTTTCACAGTCCTACTGATTTACCTCAGTGGTTGTTTGTAAATCAAGTGAGAATGCAGACAATCTGGAAAAACCTGGAATTGAGGCCCATCTTGCACCCTTGATGGCTGCATCATCAATCTCTCTTGAAAGGAAGGGCCTGTGAAGCCATTGGGTTGGTCTCTGCACATCACCGGCCTCTCCTGGGGCCAGTTTGTGGCCCTCTCAACAGTTTATACAGAGCTTCCACACATGTTCTGTCTTGTTTGGATTTTTCTTCCCTCGCCCACCCCCTTCTCAATCTATCGCCGTGTTTCATTGATTCTACTTCCTCAATCTCTCTCGGATCTGTCCCCTTCTCTCCATCCCCACTGTCCCTGCCCAGTCCAGGCCATCTCCACCTCAGGCTCAGACACCGGCCCCCCCCTCAGTCCCCTCCCCAGACTGCCACAGTGGTCCAGACTCAAAGCTGCACACACCTCTCTCCTGTTTCCGAACCCTGCTGTGGATCTCCATTAACCTGAGGGCAGAGCCCAGGCTCCTGTCTGTGGCCTCCGAGGTCACCTTTCCAGACATGTCCCCACACTGGTCTCCCTCCTCTCAGGGATCACACCACACTCCTCACAGTTCCTCAAAGAGGTCATGAGTGCCACTTTCCACTTCTGTACCACATAAACTCCTACTCCTGTGTCAAGAGCTATTTGAAATGTCACCTCTTCAGTAAGCATACCCCCTCAGGACTCCAAAGTTGTCAGAGTGACCTGGCCTGTGGCCCTGAGCAGACTGTGTCAGTTTTTCTCCTTCTCAGGCCCTTTCCCAGAAGTCAAACTCCAAGCTCTTGGCGTGCTGGAGTCTCCTTCTCTCAGCATTCCCAGTGCCCTTGGAGGATCAGGCACATGGAGGGTGCTCAGAACACATCTCATGAAAGAGGAAACTGAGGCTCAGACAAAGCAGGGACTTGCCCGAGGTCACACAGCCACACAGTGGCTGAGCCAAGCCCAGAACTCAGGACTCCATTTGTAAAGGGACCCATCCATTCATTTATTCATTCACTCAACAAATATTCATTGAGCCCTGTGGTAGACAGAATAGCAGCCCCCCCAAAATGTCCACGGTCTAACCCCTGAAAGCTGTGAATATGTTACCTTACGTGGTAAAAAAGACTTTGCAGATGTGATTAAGTTAATGATCTCAAAATAGGAGATTCCTGGATTATCCAGATGTGCCCAGTATAATCACAGGTTCATTTCAAGAGGGAGGCAGTGGGTCAGAGTCACAAGAGAAGATGGGATGACAGTGACAGAGGTCCCAGTGTTGCGGGACTTTGAACCCAGGAATACAGGTGGCCTCTAGAAGCTGGAAAAGGCAAGGAAATGGATTCTGCCTGAGAACCTCTGGAAGGAACACAGCCTGCCACACCTTGCTTTTAGTCCACGGAGATGGATTTAGGACTCTGCCCACCTGAATGCAATAATAGATGTGTGTTTTTAAGCCACTAAGTTTGTGGTAATTTGTTACAGCAACAAGAGGAAACTAATACAAGCACCTCCTATGTGCCAAGAGCGCTTCCAGGATCTGGGGGCACAACTGTGAACAGGAGAGCAGAGGTCAGGAGGTTGTCTTTGGACAGACAACAGACAAACAAATGCCAGACAAAGGTGGTGTTGGGCCGTGATGAGAGTGAAACAGAGAACAATGGCTATGGGAAGCAGCTTTGGGTAAGGTAGTGTGGAAGGGCCTGTATGTCACCTGTGAGGCGGTGACATTCAAACAGAAATACAGAAGATAGGAGGAGGCTGCCTGGGAGGAATGCACGTGCAAATGTCCCGACAGGATAAGAGGGCTGAGCAGCGTGGGGGAGACGGAGGGAGCAGCCGGTGGCCAGAGGGGAGGGGTGGTGGGCAGAATCCGCCAGCTTTCCCATGAGCGCCCTGATAGGACACAATCTGAAGCACACAGTGTCACCTCGGAAGAACTCTTGTGAAAAGGTATTACCCAGGGCCGGCCCGTGGCTCACTCGGGAGAGTGTGGTGCTGATAACACCTAGGTCCCGGGTTCGGATCCCATATAGGGATGGCTGGTTAGCTCACTTGGAAGAGCGTGGTGCTGACACCAAGTCAAGGGTTAAGATCCCCTTACTGGTCATCTTTTAAAAAAAAAAAAGGTATTACCCAGGGATAGTCACAAAGGACAAACACTGTATGACTCTGCCACTATGAGGTACCTAGAACAGTCACATTCGTAGAGACAAAAGCAGGATGATGGTCTCCAGGGGCTGGTGGGGGGTGGGAGTTGGTGTTTAATGGGGACAGAGTCTCAGCTTTGCAAGATAAACAGTTCGGGGGGGCTGGCCACTTAGCTAAGTTGGTTAGAGCACAGCTTTGTAACACCAAGGTCAAGGGTTTGGATCCCTGTACCAGTGAGCCACCAAAAAAAAAAAAAATAGTTCCGGAGACGAAGGTGGTGATGGGTGCACGACAGTGTGAATGTACTTGATGTTGCTAAACTAACTGTACACTTAAGATGCTTAAAATGGTAAATATATAGTATGTGTATTTTATCAATTTTTTAAAAAAAAGGTGTCTCCCAGAATCAAGTCAAACCTCTAGTACTAATTCCCAGTTTACAAAAAAATGCAAGGGCTAGAGGAAAAAGGTAAATGAGCCCACGAGGAAACAATCAGACAGCTCCAGAAGGTGGGACCTTCCAGACCTTCTATAAGATAACTGTCCCAGGATTATCAAAAAGTTAATGTTTTTTTAAAAAAAAAAAAAAAGTGGATAGGACATTTAAGATTAAAAGAGACTTACGAAACATAACAATGCAATATGTGGACCTAAATTGAATCCTAGTTTTGAAAAAGAGCCTTGTCTTTTATACTGACCTTTTATATATATATATATATATATATTTATTTATTGGGTAAATTTGAATGTAGACTGGATGTTAGATGATATTAAGGCTTTATTGTTCATTTTCTTAGGTGTAATAAAGACTTGAAGGGTAGGGAGGAGAAGGTCCTTGTTCTTAGAAGATGCCCATTGAAACGATTGGGGATGAAGGTCTTGATGATCTTACTTTCAAAGAGTTCAGGACAAAAGAAATTCGTGTGTGTGTGTATTGATATAAAGGGGTGTGTATGTAGTATGTGTGCACGTGTATACAGCTGTGTGTGTATACAGACATAGATGTATGTGTGTATAGATGTGTATGTATGTTTTGTGCATATGTGTGTATAGATATAGGTATGTGTGTATATATGTGTGTGTGTGGATACATACGTGTGTGAGTGTGTGTGAGTGTATCTCCCAGAGACAGAAAGGGAGAGACAAAGCAAATACGGCTAAATGAGTGTTAATGATGTTGCAGTTCGGTGGTGGATATACTAGTGATCATTGAACTACTCTAACAACTCTCTTGAACATTTTAAATGTGTCATAATTAAAACCTGGGGAGAACAGAGGAAATGTTTTTTTAAATGTGGAAGTTATGCTGCGAGTCAGGAGCTTTTGCTGGAGGATTGTAAATGAGCGACAGATAATTGGCCTGGTGGCTGTTTATCAGCCTATTTTGGGGTTTTCTTACACGGGGCCCTCCAGGCCTGAGGCCCCTCCACAGGTGGGCTCAGGGGCTCCCCCCGGGGAGAACACCTGAGTCCCTGGGGAATTGGCAGGGCCCCAAGCCCTTCCTGCTGGCTCAGCTTCTGCAGCAGCACCCTCTCCCCACCCCACCTTTCCCTGAACTTGGAGGATGATCCACAGCCTTGGCCCAGCCGCCTCTGCTCCCCACCCCTCCCCGTGCCCTTGGCCTTCCTGGAGCTGGAGAAGAGGCATTCACTGAGCCCTTGGAGGCCCAGGCAGGCCGCAGGGGACCACCTTTCAAAGAAAGGAAAGGAGCATTCCTGTCGGGGCTGAAGGTGAAGAATAACCTGGGATGCAGGGGGCAGTTGTTCCCAGATCTAATCCTCTTTTCCCCAACCTTCTTTCTTCTTTTAAGTTAATTTTTGTTTATTAAAAAATGTGTAAATGTAGAAAAAACCCAAATATCTATCAACTGATAAGTGAGTAAGAAAAATGTATATTCACACAATGGAAATGATTTCACCTGAAAAAGGAGTGAAGTTCTGACACATGGTACAACATGGCTGAACCTGGAGGCCATTATGCTAAGTGAAATAAGGCAGACACAAAAGGACAGATACGGTATGATTGCACTTACATGAGGTACCAAGGGTAGTCTAATCCACAGAAACAAAGTAGAATGATGGCTGCCGGGGGCTGGGGGGAGAGAGGAATGGGGTGTTATTGTCTAATGGGGATAGAGTTTCGGTTTAGGAAGATGGGAAAGATCTGGGGATGGACAGTGGGGATGGTCCACAACAATGTGAATTGCTTCATGCCACCAAACTACATTAAAAATGGTTAAGATGTAAATTTTATATAATGCATATTTTACCACAATAAAAAAGTACATAATATATAAATGTGCATTTGTACAAATGCATAGTTTATGTATGGAAAGATACACAAACTCGTGATAACATTAATTGCCTCTGAGGAGAACTCAGGTAGTGGGTGGGGGAGTCTCACTTTCACCAGATTCCCCTTTGTGGGCCTGGCCAGTTAGTTCAGTTGGTTAAAGCACAGCCTT